CGACCGCCGGGGACCTGAGTCCCCGGGGACAGCGAGAGGGCCCGAGCACCGCGCGCGGGCGCACGCAGGGGCCGCCGCCGCCTCGCCCAGCGCCTCCTGTGGCACCTGCGAGGTAGTTTGGGGCTGCTGCCCGAGGTCTAGCCGGGAAGGTCTGGTCCGGCAAGTGCGCCACGGAGGCGCCCTGGAGGCACCTGCAGCCTACGCTCTCGCTCCCCGAGCGGGCGCCCTGACGGAGCCCGGGAGAAGGGCCGGCGGACGGAGGCCGCGGGCGCTCCACCGCCACTCAGTGCTGTGCTTGGACGGCCTTGGGGGCCTGGCTGGGACCCCCACCGGACGGAGCAGCCGCCCTCTGCCGACCCAGGCGAGGCCCGGGGCCGCACTTGTGTGCGCTACCGCCCCCTCCCGGCATCTGATCTCCCCTCGTACCCACTCCCACAGGACACCCTCGCCCCCTAGGATTCTCCCTCGGGTGGAAGCATTGTCCGGAGGCTGGAGCGGGGTCCGCGAGCCCCTGGCCCTGGCCCTCCGTGTCCCGGGTGTACGATTGTCCCAGCTAACGTAGTCAAAGCGGTTCTGGCCAGATGTGTCCGGTGGCTCTCTGTGCCCGTGCTTGGAGAATGGGAATTGTGAACATTAAAATATCAGTTCCCAAGAGGTGATTACTGAGGGAGACACACCGGGACGTCAAATCAGAAAACATCCGGGAGCCTCAGGCAAGGAGTGGAGGCGAAATCCATGACCTTGTAAGGATGGGAGTTTAACCTTCACTGAGCACTGCTACCGGCCAGCACTATTCTTGGTGCTTGCCAGCCTTAAAATGTAGTTCGCAACCACGTAGTCCTGTGTTTATCACCCTCAGTCTACAGAAGACTAAAGTGACGCTCAGAGAGGTTGCTTAACTTGCCAGAGTACACAGAGCTACTGAGAGGACTGGACCCCGCTGGGGTCGGAGTCTCTGGTGCTGAGGGGCCCTGCCTTGACTGGCCATGGCTTGGACCTCCATTCCCTCAGGTGCAGGGAGGGGCTGGAGCAGCCCATGTCCACAGATTGTTCTGCAGTCCTGGCCAAGCCTGTTTGGGAGAGCCAAGGTGTGGATGGGAAGGAGGCAGCTCCTTCTCTGTGGGGAAATGTTTCAAGAGCAGGAGCCCAAGAGCAACCAGTATATACAGGAGAAGGGACTGCACTTGAGGCACACGAATCGAGGTCAAGTTCCAGCCTGGCTGCTTTGGGCCTCGACTTCCCCATCCACACATGGGAGGCGCTGCAGTCCTGCCTCTGAGTCTAGACCCGCCCGTACTTCCTCAGGGACACAGCACCTCCACACACACCTTTGTTGGGTTATAAAAATGAAGACGGTGTGAGTCCTCCCAGCACGTCTCCAGCATTGCCAAATAATGCTTGGGGACTCTTTTCTTTACTGAAATGTTGTTAGGGGCCAACCCACGGTGACCCCATGGGACAGCAGAACTGCCCACAGGGTTTTTGAAGCTATCACCTTTCCATGAGCCAATCACCAGGTCCTTCCATGGAGCCACTGGGTGGGTTCACACTGGTAACGTTTTGGTTACCAGCTGCACACTTCACCACTGTGCCACCATGACTCACTGAAGTGTTGTTGTTATGTGCCGTCGAGTCGGACCCGACTCATAACGACCCCTCCTTGGGTTTCAAAAGCGGCATCTCTATGGAAGTAGATTGCTCAACCTTCCTTCCGAGGAGTGGCTGGTGCGTTTAAACTGCCAGCCTTCTGGTTAGCAGTCAAGTGCCTGAGGCACTATGCTACTGCAGTGTTAGTAGGCACATTTAATCAAGGCCTTCACCTTCATTTCTTCCAACAGAGCACCAAAGGAGGAGGCTTCAGTATTTCAGGAGGACAGAAGGAGCTGTCTGTGGCTTCGAGGTCCACTGGTAACTTCCAGTGGGTTTTGAGCAAATATTTGCTTTACCACCGCCACCCCCCATTTTGAGAAGCTGGAAGTTAAGCTACATGATCTTTTTTGTAATTATAAATTTTTATTAATCAGAGGTAAGGGGTAGTACTGCTCCTTATCTATAAACTATTTTGAGCTCCTTCTGTGAAAATGTTACCATTAAATGTTTTAGTGATTATAATTACTAATTTTTAAAAAATAGTAACAACAGCTAATCTTATTTTTTTAGGGTTCACTGAAAGCCAGACACAGGTAGGTGCTAAACACACAGTCACTCACCTAATGTCATTTAATCTTGACACCATTCCTGTGCAGGAAGTAATGATAGTCCCATTTTACGGATGAGAATACTGAGACTCAGGGAAGCTACATGATGCCCCAAGGATGCCCAGGTTAAGAGGGGAAGGCAGCCCAGGCTAGGTCTGCAGGCTTGAGTGCAGCATCCCTTCTCAAAGGCCTTACCCCTAATGAGAAATTCTGCTTTAATCTTCCTGCTGTATGGCTCCCCCTTGGGGAAAACGCAAGGCCAACTTGGGGTGGGGCCGGGGCGGGTCTGAATCACAGGCTTGCTTCTCAGGAGGCCTGAAAGCAGAGACGCAACGCTGAGCCTATCTTCTGGAGAGTACCTTGGACAGTGGCAGGGAAACCAGGCCAAATTTTCTCCCAACTCCTCTTTCTAGGCTTCTGCAGACATGATCTCGCAGGTCCACTTAGCGTTCTGTCACCCCCCAGCCAGAGGGACGGCTTGAGCAGAGCTCACCTGAGCGTCTCCCAAAAATCCCAGTGCAGTCCCCAGATGCCCAGGTGCGCTCCCATTGCCATCACAGCTACCCCCCAGTCACGGGCTCGGGAACCTGCCATTCCTGCACTCCTCGGCTCAGGTTTCTGAGTGAGCATTTCCCCTTCTTTCCCTTCTCTTTTTCCCTTAGTCATTTGTGTTTTCCTTGTAAGCTGTGCCAATATGGAGTACCTGCTGACACCTACTTCAGGGAATAAGTTGAAAGCTGGGATAACTTTGACATTTACTAAGCGGTTAATGGCTCTGCCTGTCACCTTCAGCCCATCTGTCCCACATTATGGGCTGACTCAACCCTGAGCCATGTGGCCTGGACCAGCTCTGACCCAAGGAGTGCCCCATCTCCACTGGCCTGACTCCAGGCCAACTCTGACCTCATGCCCCACTTCTGATGCCCGAGCACCCTCCTGGCTCCAAGACCCTACCCTGGCCTTGTGCTCCAGCTGTGGGAACTGGGTTCCTGGTGCGCTTCCTGGTCTAAGTTCCTGCTTCAGTCATCAGCCTGGAACCCATGATCCTCTCATCTAGTGTCCAGCTTCAGGCTTTATTATAACCATTCATTCCTCCACCAATGTTCTTGAGGACTTCCTACATATGAAGGATGATTCCAAGGGCTGGGGACATGAGAGTGAATAAACCAGACCCACATCTGTGCCCTGGCAGAACTGACATTCTTGTGGGGGAAGAGAAACAATCAATACAAAGAATAATAACATTTTTAGTGTGTCAGTTTATGGAAAGTGCTGTGGTGAACAATAAAGCAGGGAAGAGTTTCGAGGCTGGCAGGGTGGGGCTGCACTTTGAAACAGGGAGGTCAAGGAGAGGCACATAGAGGTGGCTTTTGAACAAAGCCCTAATGGAGGTAAGTCTGTGGGTCATACAAGTACTGACCCACGTGGGAAACACCAAGGGCAGAGGCAGGAGTCTGCCTGGCACGTTCAAGGAACCAAGGAAGCCAGTGTGGCTGGAGCAGAGTGAGCCGGGGACGGTGCTTGCTGGTAGCTGATGTCCAGCCAGTTCCAACTCATGGCAACCGTATGTATAACCAAACGAAACACTGCCTGGCCCCACACCAGCTCCACGATCACTGTTATGTTTGAGTCATTCAGGGGAGAAGTAGTAGGAGCCAAGGTCAAAGGCAGGCTGATTCCACTGCCACTGCCACTGGCAGGTCTTTGGCTTGTATATGACCAAGTGGAGAAGGGCTGGAGGGTTATGAGCACAGCTGTAACATGACCTCCTATTTTTTAGCAGGCTCCCTCTGGCTTCCGGGTAGACAACCACTGGTGAGGGAAGATCAGTTAGAAGGCTATTGCCATAAGCCACAGATGGTGGCAAGAACCAGGGTGCTGGCAGTGAAGGTGGTGGGAAGGAGCTAGATTAGTCACTGGTCTTCTTATTAGCAGGAATACAATGTATTGGCAGAAACCAAGTCCCAGGACTGTGGTAACCACTTGATTCCCAAGAGCACATCTACCTTACAGGAGACATACTGGAGACTAGAAAGCAACGTGTCCCAGGTTGCCCTCCTAGAAAGTGATAAAACATGAATGTCTGCCCAGGACCATTGGTTGAAATTCTCATCCCCCAGGGAATCCTTTTCCTCCATGCCTTCTCCATGCACCACAAACCTGCAGCTAGTCTCCAAACTCAGAGGTTGAGGCAATGCTGAGAGATGAGGCCCACTTCATTCCTGGGATTTCAGGGCTCTAGGGTCCATCTGACTGCCTGCTGGGACACCCTGTCCATCTGAGTGGGATCCTGACACAGCATCTTAACCAGGCCTCCCCCTCACACCCCCTCCTGGACACCCCCTCCCAGTGCCAGCTGCTCAGATCTATCCCCCTGCAGCCGCCTCCGCCTAGGAACCCAGCCCAGTTTCCAACACCTTGTTCCCAGTTTGACCTGTCAACCCCGCCTGCCTCAACTCCAACCCCTGACATCAGTGAGTTCTTCTTTCATCTATTCCCTTAAATAAATAAATAATAAAAGACCATCTTTGCAAACATTTCCCGTGTGTTTCTTGTTCATGTTTACATTAAAATGTTTCTTTCAACCAAGTAGCTCATCTTTTTTTTTAAGTACATTGTTAGTTTAACATTTTTTTTTAATGGCTCAGTTATGAATGATGGCTCCAGAAAAGATTAACTGAGTAAATCTCAGTTGCTTTTCCCTTTTCACAAGCATGTTTTTTAAACCGTAAAATTGGGTTTCAGGCATTGAATGTGGTCTGTGACACAGCTCGAGTAAAGATAATAACCACCATTCATCGAACACCCACCTACTCTGGGCCAGACACCTCGGTCTGCATGTTACTCTTCACGACTGCCTGGGAAGAGGCGCCAGCATCCCAGTTTTGCTAATGAAGCGACTGGGGTCCAGCTCACTGACACCATGTGCATAATGACACCTACCCAGCAGAGGCAGTGATGGGGGCCAAACCAGCCCGGCTGACCCCAAACTCCCGTGCTCCTGTGCCTGTCTTTGGAGATGTCCTCGTGTGACTGATGATGAAACAGTCTGACACAGACAAAGAACACTGCTGAAGGTCAACACCCAAAACAGGTGTAACGTCCTAGCCAGGGTCCTCACTGATTGGGAGATGAAGCTGGGTCTTCCTCGGCATTGCCAGGGAGGAGAGTGTCTGGCCTGAAGGCTGCGGCTAAACCCTGTGGAACTGAATGCCTAGAACAAGGCAGATCCACAGAGCCCACGGCGCCTCCTTCCCCGCCTCCTCCCTGTCTGGTTTGAGAATGGTGGGAAGTTGGGGGAGTCACCTTGCTCCATGTCAGTGAGTGGGCACAGAGGGGGGAATTCAGCTCACCATCGGATGGTCTCGGAAGGATACTGACTGGCAAAGGGTCTGAAAGCCCCTCTCCTTTAGAGGTTTCAAAAACAATATGATCTCTGAAAAGGGGGATGGATCATAGGTGGACGAGAGGCACTGTTTAGAAACAGGACTTTAGATGGTGATGAGGCCGACCTCCTACCCAACACAGGAGATTCTCTTTGGCCTTTAGGGGCAATGATGGTTTGGAGTCGGACAGTCCTGGTTCCAATTCTGCCTCACTACTTATTCATGGTGCAACTTTGGGTTAATGACTTACCCTCCCTGAACTCAAGTTTCCTCATCTGTAAAATGGGCATAATAATGCTGCTTCTTTCATAGGGCCATTGTGAGGAGTGAATAATAATAACCATATGATCAAAATGAGCATCCACGGGTACCAGGCACTGTTCTAAGCACAGTCCATGTCATTAACAGCCTTGTTGAGTAAGATGACGCGTGGAACTACTCAACACAGTGATGTCACCAGGGCTTGTAGAGTCGACTCCAACACATGGCACCCCCGTGGGTCAGAGCAGAACTGTGCTCTACAGGGTGCCCGGTGGCAGTTTTCTGGATGTAGACGGCCAGGCCTTTCTTCTCAGGTACCTCTGGGTGGACTCGAACCTGTCGGCAGCCAACACATTAACTGTTGGCACCACCTGGGCTTAACACAGGCACCCATTATGTATGCAATAAACAATAATGATAAAACAATGGTAATGATTGTTATTATTTTCATTGAGAAGATGGCAAGATAAGTGCCTCCCGAGGTTCCCACTGATCGAGGGGTTTTTGTACATTTTTCTCTTTAGGTGCCACTGAAGTCAGCATCCTATAGCCTTCACCTTGGATCCTAATCTGTTCCCTGAGCCCACAACGGTCTGCTCCCCTTCATTCATGGTGGTCCTTCATCAGAGATTGCTCACAGACACCCTCTCAGTCCCCACCCAGCCACACTTTTCTTACTCAGGAAACATGTCCTCAGATCCCTCAACCTTCCGTGGCCACAAGTCCAGGGTCTGCACGTGTCTCTCTTCAAGGCTGGCACCCAGAACTGGCCACAAAGTCCCCACCATGGGCCAAAAGGCATGTGGAATGACCTCTGTGCTCAGGCTTCTGGACAGCTGCCCTGCTGTCTTTGCAGCCCTGAGTCCCCTGAATTTTGCTAGCAGCCACCTGCCCTTTGGTTCATAGGAAGCGTGAGGTCCTCTAAGAGCCCTGGATTGTTTTCTGTGGGACTGCTGTTGGCTGTTGTTTCCAGTGAACAGCAAGACAGGTCTCTCAGATCCTGTTC